TTATTATTTGTACATTTGCTCAAAAGCAGTAAAAATGACTTCCTTGGACAATCTAGTGTTAAAATCATGAAATTCTATCTTCACATAGGCACCTCTTTTTCGCCCGGCACTAAAAGGTTTAAGAAACGTCTGTGAAACGATTTTTTATTCGATCATCGATGCAAAAATGTACACTAAATATACTCGACGCGTTTGATAGATTTTTTTTTTTTTTTAAACGGCGAAGGGAAGTAGAATCCCTGACGTGAAAGATTCAATTCTCAGCATGGAAAGAAAGTCAGGAGGAAACCGGAGCCAAGGCTCGTGCGAGGATATTCGGCGAAGAAGGTAGGTATCTCCTCGATTCCAGCTGGAGGCACCTGAAACGTCGACCTTCTAGCGTTACAAGGCCTGCTGCTCCAGCCGTCGGATGAATAACTCCCAAAGAAAGTATCGCTGCTTTGCTCGAAATCGATTTCACAGTATCGAGTGTCCCTCTCACGGTATCTCATACGCGATACAAACAGTCTCGAGGATTTTCGAGGAAAAAGAATACTAAACGCTTGGTACCACGTGTATTATTGCTAAAGCGAATGTTCTGTTTCCAAAGCTCGTGGTACTGAAAATCATACATTATGTATGATCCTGTTATGTACAAACGTCTCGTGTGTTTTTCTCTGATATCGTGCTCATCGACAAGCGATTAATTAAATGACTTGGCAAATAACCCTGACACCTGAATTCTCAAACACGTCGATTTATATAAACACTATTTTCACTGACTCTTATAAAGATCGAGCGAGACTGACAGAAGACAGAATCCGGGACGAGATTAAACAAGAGGACGCGGTAAACAGTGGCAGGAAACAAGTTTAAACAGGGTTGAAATGAACACGGGGTACAGGAGAGGCTCGTTTCCCCGATTTCGGAGGTCGCCGCGTGACCCCGACGCGATTAGCATATTTCGAGCAGCCGGTAGCTCGGCGCCGAGCAGGAATAATCCGTGTATTTTCGACTAGAGACCGTGGCTCGTCGTTATCGGCTCGCTCTATCTTAACGACGCCAGATCTGTCGTTCCCCCGTCCCCACCTCCAGAGAGGAGCAGCAGAGAAACCACCGTTCTTCGCTCGCGTCTATCTCGAATCTCAGGACGAGAACCGTGTACCCTCTCTGGTGGCAGGTACAAGAGAAACTGCCGGAGACGATGCTCTCGAAATGATTGATCTCTCTCGCCCTGGACATACGCTTGGTAGCCATCGATTCTCTCTCTGCCTCTGCTGCCTCAAACATCCGGGATCTTCAGATACTCTCACGACGTCTTTAATTTCACTTCTCGTTTCAACGATTAAATACTTGGTCAATATTATTAGATTCGTCTCAATTCCTCCCAGCGATCTTCCAATCGATCCTCCATTCGATCAATCAAAATTGCATTATTTAATCTCACATGAAAAATTCTCAGACTACCAAAGTAATATTCTAATATATTAGGTCTACCGGAAAGTTCTGTCCGGTTCTGTCTGGTATTAATACTGTTAGGTTTTAACCCATTCGCTGCCAAGGACGAGTATACTCGTCCTGGCAATGCGTGACACCCTGCCAATCATTTAGAAGCAGAAAACCAAAGACGAGTATACTCGTCGTTGGCAATGGGCCTTCAAAAGAGCTTGCATGTTATAATATATTTAAAGCAGGACGAGTATACTCGTCCTGGCAATG